TATATATATATATCGCAGTAAACCCTTCAGATATCGATATAGATTAACCTCCGCTTGTGTAAATAACGACGGCGAAACCGCTCGAGGGAGAGAGATTTGTACGGCGGGACGGGCCTTTGCAGAGGGGCTCGCGGGGCAGCACCTCAAGGAGCGCGCGTCCTTCCATGGAGATCTGCCTAGTGACGGCGGAGGTGAGCAGCCCCGGCCCGTCCGGCTGGGCGCCCCCGCTGTCCGCGGCCAGCGCAGCCTCGGCCCCCGCACAGAGTCCTCGCCAGTCCTTCGGCGGCACGCCACTGTCCACGGCGGGGCAGCTGCGCGGCTGCAGCCCCGACCCCAGCATCAGAAGCCTGCGCAGCATCAGGTCGTACCGACCGCCGGAGACTCGCTCCCCCGACCTCTACGTGCCCAGGTGAGTCTCCCATTAAGAGTGTTCTTTCAATCGGATGAAATATTGTCTCTAAACGAATACAAAAAAAGTAATTTGGACTCATGCTAGGTACAAATTGTAGCTTTTCAGATACAAATTTGCGTCTATTTGAGATGTAATTAAGAATGCATATTTGCTGGATACAAAGTTGTACTTTCCCATGTACAGTGTACACACTTAGTGGCCGTGGTGCCGCACGGATCGTCTAGAAAGTACGTCCTTTTTTCAGATTCATTCCGCAAAGTATACATACTAAAGAAAGTGTGCTACTGACAAGTGGTTAACGTTGAAATTGAACAACTGCTGTACTGACCAAATGCAGCTGTGGACACTTTAATTTGTTCAAATTCGCTGTTGGGCACTTAAATATTTAAATTTCCTGTTCAACATCTAAACGTGTGCAGTATGCCGTTGAGCTCTTTCCTGTTCATGCCAATTGTACTCTTTTGCTATCAGTGTACGGGAGCTCGGCGCCTGTGAGATGCAGGGTAGGCCAACACGCAGAACATGCATGCACGGTACACAAAATGCTGCCTGCCCTCAAGGCGCTACGAAAGCTTACTAATGCCAAACTTGCCAGTTTCGTACCGGCTTACTTTCTGGATGATTCCTTGCGAGCAGAGGCAAACCTGCTTCCCACTTCCTAGTTGAACCCCTGAGGTACTAGTGTATCTCTCGCAGCGCCAGCTCGCCTTTTCTTTTTGTGATCGCTCCACGGCTCATCTTGAACGAACTACCATATTCGTTTACTGACAGCAAATCTTTCTCTGTTCAGGAACGCCATGGGAATAGCCGAGGCCCTGCCTGCGTCGACGATGCTCCTCTCGTCCGACGAGGGTCCCGACGTCTCCCCGAGGTCCCCGTCGCTGTGGGAGGCGCTGGCCGGGTTCGTGTGCTTCCTCGGGGACATCGTGTCAGTGTCGGACAAACCGAAGAGTCCGAAGAAGAAGGTCACCAACTAGGCTACTACCGACGGACGGTTCACTGACAACACGCTCCCGTGTTTGTTCGCGTCGTGTCGAGATGATTATACGTTCAGGCTGGTCGTGTTCGCTACTTGGCTGGGGGGAGGGTTTGTGATGCCTTCTCCACCCAGATGTCGGTGTTGTGTGGCACGTACCGAACAGACGGCGAGTTGTTGATTTGCGTGATTAAGACTGGTACGTCGGAGTAATAAACTTCCTAAATATCGTTATAATTTGCTTATCGTTGTTGTTAAAGAGTTCTCGCGTCTTAAACAACTCTCCTTAACGTGTAGACTTGTTCTGATCTCTACTTTTGAATTCAGTCGCTTTGAGCACTTTGTAGAAAGAAAGATCCTTGTCTTCCTATATTTTTCTATTCTTCCTTAAACCTTTGAGTCCATGTTGAGTATTTGAGAGGTCAGCCGCTAGAGGTCTGCTCTGTCATCCCATCGTTTGGTGGAAACTAAAATTGTTTTGAGACGAATGATTTGCCTTTCGGTCAAGTCGCCTTGTGTAATATTTGTCTTGGGTTTCACAAGTCTGACAATATCCATGCTCGTGTTGTCAGAAATCATATTCAATTTTCAACTGTGTCACGCGTACTTAAACCCGCGCTTAAGGAACAGTGGAGATGTTTTTAATATTCAGTACTATATTTACTGCGTCAATTAATAGAAGCAGAACTGTTTTACTTTATTGACTCGTGCGCACTCAGAGGATGACATATCGTAAACACGTGTGCTTTTAATCTTTGGTAGCACTGCCGATCTAGATGTCGCAAGCCACTCCTGTAAAGTAATGGGTTTAACGCCATGAACAGAATCGCGAATACAGCTTGTTTACTGCTTGTACATACGTTCAAAAAATTTCGTCCACAAAATCAGCCGGAGACGCGTCTTATTTTTTCGTACCTTTATGACATATCCTAATTAACCTAAATTTTTATCACGCTATGAGCTACTGTAAGCTACACGTTTGACCACTAACTCTTCTGTCCTATCGCCTGTGTCATATCTTTTGTACCTGTGACAGCAATGACCAGTTGAGATGTAATATTGGGTCCACTCATTACCAATTTCTGACAAAATCAGATTGAGATTTCCTCTGGACAATGGTGTAAGTCTACGCTTCTGGCGTATTTGTATTACTTTGTAGGTTGATATGCGCAACATCTTGTTACATAAATAATATTTATATTAATTTTGGCCTATGCACTTTCTTTGAGTGCCTCTTGAGTGATATTACTATTTTTCTAGCATAGAGACTAATCTTCGTGTCGTGCTTTGAATGTTAAGAAACATATGTTTTATGCACAAAATTTACTCTAAATAAGCTGATGTACATAGACCTTGTCTTGTTTGCTCTGAAAGCTATGATCTTTGTTAATTGTTCTGTGTGCAGTCTGACCTTAGTTGATAGAATAAGGTGCATTTTGCAGAACTGTTTCTATTCTCTTGGACCAAGAAAAGGTACAGGCTCCAATACAAGGGAATGCACGCATATTTTGCTGCTAATGTTAATTAAGAAAAGTTCGTTTCATAATATTTGCCACGTTATATCTTAATTATTCCCTCCCTTTCGAACTGCACAGAACTTTTTCAGCTCTTTCATAGCTTAACTGATTATGAAAAAACGGAATTAACATATCGCGTTTAAAATTTTGAACCTTTATCTTAACGTGTAATGTGAAAAATGTCGCCGACTGTTCTGAGAAAGTAGAGGTTTATCATATCCTAGTATCGGAGTCTATCTTTTCTGATTTTTATTTTCCATTTTATTAAAAGTCTTTTATTGGCGAGTTGAAAAGTGCAAGAAGAATGCGGGGTGTATTTTTGTGGTTGAACTGTGCTGGACGGTCACAAGTAGGGGGACGGGTTGAGAAATAGAGCAAGGGTACAATAGTAAACTATACAATCGATTTTTTGAAAAGGGTTCTGGCTTTTGCTGTTGCTACAAAAGAGTTCACTTTTGCACAGCTGTTGGTTTTCTCCCACATGTTCCGCGGACTTGCTCTGGTGAGACTCATATCGCACTCTTTGTGGGACCAAGTAGTAAATCCCCGACATATCCCACTTAACATTATCAGATCGTTCTCTTACGCTCTTTTGAGTGACACGGCTGAAGTACTCAACCCGCAAATATCAACTTGTGATCGGACAGGAAGGAAACTTGGCTTCCTACTCAAGAATCTTGTAAATAAGTGTATGTAACTCTTTTTTCAGAACTGTGTCACTTTTATACTGGCTGTACTTTTCTATTGACGACTTTCGCCCCGTAGTGGGACCGCTATAGTCTGTATTTTGGGTTTATAGTTCTCTTGTATATAGATTGTGACGTCAAAAACCCAGAGAAAGGTCTTTTTGGTCAGAAATGCTTTTTAGAAAACTTTGGTTTTACACCGCCGCCGCCAAGCGATATCGCACGTGGCTGGCGGCTGCTGAGACTCGCTCAATGAGGCAATCAGCCGAGGGTCGAAAAAAATATTTTCTACGTTTAAGGAAGAAAATAATAGTTCGCTTGGATTCGATTGCAGTTTTTTCCTCCATGGCCTTACGTATCTAATGATTTCGGACAGTATTATTAAATATGGTCAGTGCACCATTGCTCTCGGGCTTAAACGGCTTTGTGTGTTTGACGGCACTGACCCTCCTTGCGGTCCTGCAGTAGATTTTTTGTAATGTTTAAGACCTATTTTGGGCGATATTCCATTTCAGCACGTTCCAAGAAAGAGTCGTCACTGTCTTTTTTAATTTCAATCTTGGATCTACCATATCCGTGAGAATAAAAAATGTCTTCTTGAGCGTTACTCAACCTTTAATTATTTCTTTTACTGCCTCGCAAAAGGGTTGCAACCCTTTTTGAATTTTGAACTTTTGAACTTCGTATACCTCACGACACTTTCCGTCCGGCGGAAAAACACACCACGCATCGAAGCCGACCGTCACTACACTCAGCACTCAGCTCAAGACGTGGGGTATTCCTGTAGCGACGTGGATACTCCAACCATGGTCCCAGAGCTGCTTTACGCACGAAGCCGGGCACATTCTGACGCGGCGCCGGGACTCGGGCCTCTAACAAACAAACAACATATATGGCGCGGCGTCTTGATTTTGAAATGTACCCGAAAGCCAAGTTATTGGACCGTCTTTGAGTTTCAAACTGTGACAGACAGTGCGCCACTTTGGTTTCCCTGAAACCCACCCTTGATTTTGTAAGAAAACGCACATCCTGCTTGGCCACGGGACATTAGGCAGCGGTCAGAAGGGCTGCGTGCGGCCAAGACTTCTTGGTGACCTTTCGGACGCGCTCTCCGGCCAAGACAATCCATCAGGCTGTCAAGGAGGTCGCCCGCCTATGCGGGGGGCGGGGGAAAGAGACCTTTCGCCGCACTCATTTCAATAATACCGGTGGTCTGGATTCAATCACGATGGAGTGTAAGGGCAGCGGCACGGCTCCGACGGGGGTCATCACAGCTCCTTTCAGACCACCGGAAGATGCTACAGAGGCGTGAGGACTATCAAACAGGGGAACCTGCGACGTCCGGCCGGCGCCCAATCTAATTTCAAAAAGAGTTTTATGTTACAAAAGGTGGGGAGGAGGAAGGAGCTTGCGATGGTGGCGGAAAATGCGAGACGGCAGTTTTCTTTTCTCCTCTCGATGCGTCAACAAACGTCCGTCAAACTTGTCAAGTGAAGTGTTGAGTCATCAAGTTTTATCTTTATTCCTCAGAACATTATTCCCTCCTTGCCGTAGATAGGTGTGCCAAATAGTCGCATGCGTTCCTTCGCTGCAATTCCTGCTGCTGCCCAGCGTCCGGCAGTAATAAAATAGTTCCTATTGCCCTACTGTTGAGAATCGCCATTCGCGCGCTCCAAAAAGCGCGCTCTGCACGGTAAACACGACGTCCTGGTTTTCGTGGCGTTTGGAAAAGGACGTTTCCCATGCATTTCTTCTATTCGACGTCTTGGTCAAACCGTCATGGAAACCAGGACGTCGTTTTTAACCTAGTCGCTCTCACTATTACCTTGGTCTCTCCATACCCCTCGCTTCACCCTCTCCCAAATGGATCGCGAATGCATTTCGTCCATTTATCTACCTGACACATGTTTTATGTCCAAAGTGCGCTCTGCTGCACTGTCCTCTATCATAACGCATAAACTACCCTTTGCCATGAAATACAATCCCGCCCCCTACCCCTCTCCTTCCTCCTTTTCCTGTTATTCCTTCTTCCCCGCGGAATATGGACTGTGGCGCTGTACACTCCATATCCGGGTGCGCTTAACGTAGCCTCTCATCCCAAGACGAAATAGGCAAGACCGTAGGTTGGCCACCTGGCCCCCACTTCCGTTCACTTCACTCCGTTACAAGACTGCGTAAGTACCTGGCCTGGCGTTTATCCATAATCTTTCTCTATTAATCTTATAAATCACCTACATTGTTTTTTGTTTTGTTTTTTTGTGTCTGACTAAAATCTTACATCTAATTTGGCCCCCAACCCATACAGCACAATTTTTTCAACGCACCATTGCTAATTCATCGCCGTCCACAATGCTCCCCCACCCCCACCTGCTCTCTTACTTTGGGGGTCTGAATGGCAACTTTTCACTTTTCCCTTTGGATCCAGAGCCTCTCCTGCCCCCACGTTAAAAGTTGCCCTGGCCTCTTAATGGCTCACACAGTTTCCCGACAGTGTGCCCGCCGCCGCCCTTGCCATTGGCGGTGGGTAGCGTGGGTTTTCACGCAGCCCTGTGACGTCACGGCCGTACTGTCGGGTGCGGGGGCGCGGCGCCCGAGCTATGGCCGACCCGCTGACTCGCTGCTACCAATTTGTTTAATATAACGAATACGGACGCCTTTTCCGTTTATACTATATATATACCATACCATGGGTCGCACACATCATTCGTTTTGTCTCCATCAGAGTCCCGTTGCAACGATTACCTTTTTTTCACCGCAGTTTCATCGCATTTTTCCATAACTTAAAAGGCATACCGCAGCCGCACAGCCCTGAATGAGCACAAAAGAACCCATTCGCCCTGCGCAGGTGAGAGCAGCTTAACAAGTGTTTAGTTTTGCTTGTCAATTGATGCCAATGCCAAGAAGTTCAAGTGTGCAAATTTTAGACACGTTGTCGCTATGGCGCGTCTTACAAAATTTGCACTTTTATTGGAAGAAAACACCGTTTTGATTGGGCTCAGTCAGTCCATATTTTTCATGACCAGTAGATGGTGCAGAGTACGCCAATTGTTGTGCAATCTTACATTCAAAAACGTAGAGACACTCACACACTTGGTGTGCAGTTCCCTATACTGTTATATCGTTGAAAACCTGCACGAGCCGAAGTCCAAATCGTGGAAAAGTTTGCACATCACGCAAGTATAATGTAAAACGCCATATAATGTGGCTAAATAATGATTCTGCACAGTCTGCATCACAGCGGCACCAGCACCAGCATAACGCCCGCAAGGACGAGGCTTTTGCTGCCGATCGAACCTCTGTTAGCTAGAGCCTCCCTACCCCCTTCCCTCGTGCTGTCACTCCCGCTACAATTAGCGATTAGCAAGAAACCACCGCGCTCCTCTGGGTCGACCCCATAAAACACAACATCTCGCTCACTCTCTCGCTCACCCTCGCTCGCTCTCTCGCTCGCTGTCTCCCTACCCCCCGTCCTCCCTCCCACTCCCAAATCACTCCCACAACCCCTTTCCATTTCGGATATGATTTCGTTTAGCAACAGGTTGTCTCCGCGACCGCCGCCGTTTTGCGATGCTCAAGACGATGCTCGTCCGTCCCGCGGAGGAGGAGGCTGGAGGCTACGGACAGGCGGGCCCAGCCGGGCCCAGCTAGGAGCTGAAAAGGAGCTGTAAAGGATCGTTACGGTAAGTAGTCTACGGGGATGTAGGGCCCGGTGCCCCCGGCCCACCCCGGCCCCAGGACCCGGCTGCCTCGCCGGCTGCGCCCGTGAGCCGGCCGGGGGAGGTTTCAATATACGTGTGACGACCGCCCACCCACGCCGGGCGTAGGGGATGGAGAGGTAGAGAGGTAGGCAATGGGGGGGGGAGCCCTTTTATAAGTGCTCCCCTGTAGACTGTGCAGCCTGAACGGGGCGGGCCGTGCTGGCCCACGGGGTCCACGGGGTCCACTTGGACATAAGACGCTTACCATGTTAATGTGCTGGTGCGGCCCGATGGCCGCTGGAGAGATGGAGGTGGGGGAGAGCATGAGAGGGAGATGAGATGAGAGAGTGGGTGAGAGAGAGAGAGAGAGAGAGAGAGAGAGAGAGAGAGAGAGGGGGGGGGGGGGTGGAGCTTGGCAGGGTGAAGATGAGCGAGAGGTGGTCGTTGCCGGGGATGTTTGAAAAGACGGCAGTGGCGACCATTAAATGTAAGCTAGGAGTCAGAGGAGACAGGGGGGCTTCTCGGGAACCACTTGGAGAACGGGAACGGGAACGGGAACGCGGCGGGGAAGAGAACGAACTGGTGAACGCGCCATAAGAGCTAATGGAGAACGTTCGTTCCCTGCGGCCGTTCCTTCACGCGTTCACGGCACTAGTCGTTCTCTCACTTGGTTCCCGAGAACCCCCCCAGACCAGAAAATGAGTAAGGATTGTGAAACGCAAAAGGTATCCCTTTTCACCTCTCCGAAACTTCTCACACGGAGTTTACTATTAACTGTCTAACACTGGGTATACACCAGTAATCAAAACTCTCGTTAATCGTCTCGGTCAAAAGGTCCCTCTCCGAAGTGGTGCTCCCTCCCCTACCTCCGCTCCCTCGGCGCACGGAGCTGCGTGGCCGCAGGGACTCGAAATGCATCTCGGCGCGGCCCCCACTGCTCTCCAGGAGCGGGGCGGGGAGGTGCGGGGGGCCAGTGCGCCTGCGCCCCGCCGCGGCCCCCTCCCGTGGTGACTTCGGCGCGGGGGCGGCGCGGGGGCGGCGCGGGGGTAGCGCGGGCGCTCCGCTGGCCGCGCCGCTCTCGGCTGCCGCTTCGCCATTTTCCCGCCATTGCCCCGTTTAAATAGCAAGGCGGGCGGGCGCGCGTCGGCACTCGTCCCTCTCCGGAGACACAACACCAACTCCCAAGAGAGAGAGAGAGCGAGAGAGAGGCGAAGAGTGTGTGAGGAGTGACAGACAGTGAGTGAGAGAGAGAGAGAAAAAGGCAACTGCCGGGGAAAAACAAGGGAGACCAGAGGTAGAAAACAACGCCCTCCCGGAGCCGCGGCACCCGGAGTGGAGCCGAGCGAAGCGGAGCAGCCCCGGAGGAGCTCGGCACGCGTCTCACCTCCGCCGGAAACCGCCGCAGTCGGCCGCAGTCAGCCGCAGGCAGCAACTGGTGAGTAGAGCCCTGTGCCTCCTGGCGCCAAGGGCCATCTGGGGGAGGAACGGACCTGGCTGGACAGGACCATCCACCCGAGATCAGCCACAAACACTCGCCCCTGTCTCCAGAAAACTGTTCACTCAGTGACCGCTTTGCTTTGTCAACATTTTTGCATCCCCGTTGAGCTGAAAGATTCTGAAAGAAAAGAATCTTTTGGAGACTGCCATAATTGTTGGCCTTCTGTAAACGGTTTTTCATTGAAAAGACTTGACTTCTTTAAGAAGAATGGTTCAAAATTTTGAAGTCTAAGAGAGCAAGCGGCAGCCTAAGAAAGCAAAAATTTAGCAACGGTATGCTTAAATTTTGAAATAAAAAAATTGGCCGTCGTGACTAAAGTGACTGAGCGGACTACTAGACGTCGTAGACGCCCTTAGAGTAGTCAAATACGTCCTCATCTCGTAAGAAAATGGTAGTTGTAAAATTAATAAC